ACTTTCTTAAATTGTATTCATGACCTCTTGTTCCAAAACAAGTACTACCAGAGTCCTTTTATATAGGAATAGCATTTCATTTTTGAAAGATCAAAAATATCTCCTCCACTGGGTGATTTTCTTAATCCACAGGATTTAGTCCATCTCTTGGTCTGTTTGCAGCTTATTAAGTGAGATGTTGTCCCTGGAGGGCCAAATTGAAAAACTGGATTCCCACCAGGACCTTTACCCTAATCAGGGAGCAAACACCGAGGTAAGCTGGAGGCTTGGAAAAGATAATCTGGGAGGCTGGGGACTTATGCCACCTCTCTCTGCTCCTTCTGTTACTTAATAGGTAATAACAAGAATTAAGACCCATCTTCCATTGCAAAGAAGAGTGCTCTCAATGGTCAATTCTGAGCCCCTTTTTCCTGGGTACAACCATTTCCATTCTCTGATAACATAAAAAGGCTGGATTTTTCTATTCTACGTAGAAACCTGGTCAGACAAATTTGATAGGTTTTGTCTTGATGCCGTCTTAAGAGAATGATAATTACCTTAAAGGAGAACCTCTGTTTTCTTAATCTTTTTATCTCGGTGCATAGCAGTACAGAGAAGACAGCCAGGAAATAATATTGTTGAGAACTGCACTCTTAGAATGTAAGAGATCTATTTGTGTTTGTCTTCGATGCCTTCATGAAGAGTTCTAGTGTTAGTTTTCACAATCTTCAAAGTTTTCCTGTTGTTCTGTCTCCTTGCATTTCCTAGACACTCTTGTGAGAGAAAGGTTTCATCTCCTGCTTTTTTTAAGAGTCACTGAATATTAGACCTGAAAGGCAGTGACCAACTTTGAGTGTGAGTTGGACTTCAGAGTCCTGGTTGATAGTTTTTCTGCTCTATTGTAACTTCAGGTCTATGAAGAAAAGTCCCTAAAAAAGAAAGCATCCATGTCTAGTTACCTGTTTTCATTGGAATTCCCAGTCAACTGCTTTGGCGCAAGCCACAGAGTTTAAATTAAGTGGATATTGGAAGAAGTAAAGGAGAGAAATGTCTCTTTTATTGTAAGATGGTAATGTTTATTTAGACCTCTCATATATTAAAAGCCACTACAGGTCAGCACGAATTTATGCCAGGGAAAAAAATTATTTTTAACTTTAATTGTAGTCCAACATTGTAAAATCTCCATCATATTTTTGTGCTAGCTGAAAGAAAAGTCAAGGGCTTTTTCACTATTCTTGGGCTTTGTAAATTGCAAACTATAATAAATGAGAAGACAGTGGCCAAGAAATATTCCCTCCAAAAGTCATCTGTACAACAGGAGTGTGGATTTCAGCGGGAAGCGAAGGCATGGAGAGACGAATGTCAAAAGAATAAGGAGAAAGAAGAGTACAAAGATGAATGAAAATGAGGTGAAAAAATAAGGTCTTGGGATAATACGAAAGAGGCAGGCATTACAAATCTGTATGGAAATTATCTATACTAGATATATGCTGCTTTGCATACAATTAAAAAGACAGGCAAAAGCTTAAAAACTAGAAATATCCTGATAATCCACCAGTTAGTGAATAGATAAAGAGCCCTGGTGGTGCAATGCTTAAGTGCTCAGCTGCTAACCGCAAGGTTGGTGGTTCGAACCAACCCAGCAGCTCTCTGGGAGAAAGACCTGGTGATCTGCTTCCGTAAAGATTGTAGCCTAGGAAGCCCTATAGGACAGTTCTACTCTGTTACATGGGGTTGCTATGAGTTGAAATTGAGTTGATTGCACCTAACAACAACAGTGAATGGATAAACTGTGCTATATTTATATGATGGAATAGTACTCAGAAATAAAAAGGAATGAACTACTGTTTATGCAACAATATGGATGAATCTCAAATGCACTATGGTAAGTGAAAGCAACCAGACTCAAAAGACTACATAACATCTGATCCCATTTATGTGACATTCTGGAAAAGGAAAAGCTATAAAAACAGAAAATAGATTACTGCTCTCCAGGGAATAATGGAGAAAGGGAGGAAGGGATTGACAAAGGGCATAAGGAACTTTTTGGGGTGTTGGAAATATTTGAGATATTGGTTGTGGAGGTGATTATGTGACAGTATGCATTTGTCAAAAATCTTAGAACTGTGTGCTTTGAATGAGCATGTCTTACTGTATATAAATTATACCTCAATAAACCTGGCTTTTGAAGACAAGGCGCAGCTCTGTCTTCAACAAACATAGGCTGAGGAGAAAGGCTGCACAGATACATGTGCAATAATATAAATTGATAAAAAACCTTTAAATACAGTTATAGAGAAGCAAAGTTAGCAGGAAGAATTTTAGATTTACTCTGGTAAAGGGAAAAGTTAAGATTGTTAAAAAGAGATGAAGAATTGGCAAATAAAATGTGGGAAAATTCAAGGAGAAATAAGTGCTAATACAGTTAAAATAATATCACATAAATCGTCTCATTTATTCCTCATGAAGAAATGAAGTGACTCAGAAAGGCAAGAAAGAGGAAGGAGGGAAAATTAAACTAATTCTTAAAATTATACTAATTCTTAAAAGAAAGAAATGTATTTAAAAGGCCTATAACTTGAGGAAAGGATTTTGAGGTGGCCTTTGGGCATTGCCTAATATTGAGCCTCCACCCCAGAGAGCTTTCAGAAAATCTCCACATGGACATCAGGCTTTCAGAGACTGACTCCTATCTGAGTTGTCTTTAATACAGTTATCGTTGATATGTACTATGTAAAGATGTTTATTATTTAAATAAAGCAGGACACCAAATAAAATGTGATATATCACAGCTCCTTTCCAAATAATTAAACCACATAGCTCAGGGATTGGTAATGAATGAATTTGTGAAAGCAGAGAACACACTATACATTCTTCAATTCAACTATAAACTACTTGAGGATAGACTATTATTACTTGCATCCAACTAGCACTACGTTTAGCTCAAAGGCAACCTTTATAGTATGTGGCTAATAACATCTTGTTGATTTGATTTAATGTTAATTTTGGAGATCAGAACATAGAACAGTATGGGGAAAAAAAAAAACAGCTTCTATTAAATCTGAAACTCCTTTGATTATCAATGAACTTGCTCTTAACAATCATCTAATTCTGTTTGGTTTCAATTCTACACGTCATTCATTACAACTTAACCTCACCCTTTTGTTTTATAGGAGAAGATCATCAAAATTAAAAAGCAATTCGTAGAAATTGATAACAGATTTCTCCAGGTAATGATAAAATGGCTTCACAACTCAGAAGGAAAAGCAATTCTTTAACGAAATCTCAGTTTTAGAAATTTTTAGTGACTGGAAACTAAAATTAGATGAGAAGTAGACTCAGAATTTTAAATGTAGAAGGAAACTTTTTTATCATTTAGTCTATATCCGCACTTTCAGAAGAGAAAAGCGTGACTCAGAAAGATGAATGAAGTGAGTTGCCCACATTTCCAAATGATTAGAATCAGTCTTGCTTTTGCTCTCCCACATGTCTCTACATATATCTTTATCTAACAAAAGTAATACACACTTATTGTAATAAGTAAAACATTATAGAATTATTTCATATAAAAAATGAAAAATAATCCCACTCCCTCAAAGATAAACACATGAACACTTTAGTATATTCCTCCAGAGTTTTTATATACATATATTTATATGTTGTTATTGTTTTAAAGGGATCGTATGATTATACATACTGTTTTGCAACTTGCTTTTTTCACTTAGCATTTTTTCTTCAACAACAACTTTCTATGCTAGTAGATGTAATTTTACCTTTTTATTTTCACTGTTATATGATGCAGGACTTGATTTTTGGATATATTAAATTTATTTTGTTGGACATTTGGGGCTTTTAAATCAATTAAAACCATATGAACTATGCCTCAAAAATCCGTACCTGTGCTTACTTTTTCAAGTAATTCTTTAGGAATCAGTTTCTAAAAATGGTGTCACTAGAACTCCAAAATAAAAAACCAAGCCCACTGCCATCAAGTGGATTATTACTCACAAGGAACCCATAGGGTTTCCATGGCTGTAAATCTCTACAAAAACAGAATGACCACATCTTTCTCCCATGGAGCAGCTTCCAACCACTGACCTTTCAGTTAGCAGTGAATCACTTTAACCACTGCGCCACCAGGACTGGGAAAACTTTGTCCTCGAGTCAATTCTGAACATACTGACCCCACAGAACAGAGTAGAACCGCCCTGTAGGGTTTCCAAGGCTGAAATCTTTATGGAAGTAGACTACCACATCTTTCTCCCATGGAGCAGCTGGTGGGTTTGAACCACCGACCTTTTGGTTAGCAGCCAGTTAAACCCATCTTTTTTGAACCCCAGTACACTGTTCTTTCCACTATAGCTGTGTTTTTCAAGGTAACTTGCAAGTCTATGGTGGAATGATTCATTTGGAACCTTTAAAATTATTGTTTACTCCTAACATCTGTGCAATTGACACTCATGTCTTAGAAGGGGATACTTTGCTTTCAGCTGGCGTGTCTTGTTCTTACTGAAGGAAACCAGACGAAACCATGTTCTCTCCACCTGACAACCTATAGGAGACATGGGAAGAAAAGAGAAACCAGACCCCTTTTGCGGATAGCTCTTTTGCTAAGTCACAGGGTCTGAATAATCAAATTGACATAGTGAGGGATTACATTTATAAATTATAAATGTTAAAATATTTAAAAGAAATACCGTTTTTTAATGTTCTCTGAAACATTCTATGGGCCTATGGCTCCAAGTAGGGTCATGGTGGAAGGTTTTTAAAGAGCAAGGAAGGAGCAATGAGTAGAGAGAAAGATGATTCATAGTTAGCTTTGATTACACGAATGTCTGTTTTTAAAGTACTGAAAAGAATCTTATCAATCTTTTGATGATTCTCCCTGCAACTTGTCATGATTATACTATGAACTTACCTAAGGGGAAGGATTTTGCTGAGTAAAAGTAAATTTTCAATAGTGGTGTCAAAATGAGTGAGAGTTTACTGTATAAACCAGAAAAATGTAATTTTCATTTTACCCAGAATTGTGGATGTCTTTTCAGGCGGATGCTTGTAATGAAGCTCATGAATTAAAGGAGAAACTTCTTGAGAGAGTGGAGGTAAAATTTTTAATTATACACCTGTTCGAACAATAATAAAATGATTTATATCGAAATACAGGGGCAATTCTTTCTCTAGATATTTAGGGTGCTTCACAAACTGTCTCTTTCCAGCCTTATCGCCCTGTTTGCCCCTTCCTGGCCTTCTGCTTTGGGCCAACAGAACATCTCACAATTCTAGTATACTCCTGAGCTCTCATACCCTTGTGCTGCTTCTACTTTCATTCCTCTGTCTGGGGCTTATTCTCCATGTCTACGTATTACCCAGTCTTCAAGGCTCAACTCAAATATCATCTCCTCCTCCAGGTATCCTTTAATCTTCCCCAGCCAGGGAAATGACTCTATCTCTGAACTCCTCCCGCAAGATCTTATACATCAAGATAAATGTGAATGGGTAAATAAAACAATGAATGAATGAATGCATCAACTTAACTGTCACCTGCTCAGAGGTGCTTAACTATCCCATTTATCTAGAGTAGACATCCCTGCCACCAATGTAATATCTAATGTATGTGTAGTCATTTATAGCTTGTCCCCTACCCTTCACAAATGCACACATAATAGGATGCACATTCCTTGTCTGTTTTGTTAACTACTGTATCCTAGAACATTGCCTAGTAGGCAGTAGTCACTCAATAAATATATTTTGCATAAAGGAACAAATTGAATAGATGAATTCAGTACGAGGATAATCATTTTCCTACATGAATAATTCAGTAGTTAAAGATTAGCATATGGGTTACATTTAATTTTCTACCATGGTGCTTAATCTGTGAATGTGTTAAGTCTCTCTCTCAAGCAAGTATGCACCTGCCAATGACTTCCTCGCATGACTTACACATTTGTACTGTGGGCCCCTGAGGTGTTGCAGAGGAAAAGCACCTGCATTGTCTACAATAAGACAGGCAGACATCTAGAATCATTGACATTTTAAAACAGTTGCTTGCTCTTTTCTTCAGAACTTTTCCAAGGCCATAACTCTGATGAATAGAAACCAGGGGGAGTACCAAATGCAAGAACAGAAAACAGACTCTCCCAGTCCCAGAGAAATGGAACCACTGCTTCCTCAGGCTCCATCACCCCCTTTAGTGGAAAACTCTCCTCCTCGCCCTACAGAGTGGTGAGTCAAGAAAGGAGCTATTGTGGGCTGGACAAAGACCCCAAAATGTATTGACTACAGTAAGATTGAACTTCTTCAACTGTTGACTAAAAATCTGTTTTATCTTCATTTGTAAATTATCTATTCACATTCTTCAAAGTTCTCTTTTTCTATTGGAGTTGTATTTTTTATTGTTTCAGATATAAATTTATAGCTATATAGATTAAGGGTCAGCACTCGGCTACTAACCAGAATGTTGGTGGTTAGAACCTACCCAGCGGATCCCAAAGATTACAGCCTAGAAAACCCTATAAGGCAGTTGTACTCTGTCACATGGGGTCACTACGAGTAAAATGGACTCGATGGCACCTAACAACAACAATGTATATTACTTTAGATGTATGATATGGATATAGGTTGCTTTTATCTATCTATCTATCTATATATCCTAAAGGATTGTGTCTGCAAGCTACAGCTAACCTCCATTAAAGGAACATACGTACTAAACAGATTTGAAAATCTGTTTGCTGGACAGGATGTTTCTCTCTGGTACAGTATTAGAGACATACATACTAGCAAATTTTTAATCTTTGGATGCCTTTCTGGAGCTCCCATACCATCATACATACCCTGAGTAGTCTCTTTGAGTTGGGTCACAAACAGATCCATAGCTAGCTTCTACTGTGCTCTGGATTTTCTCTTCTGCAATGTATGTAGATGGTAATTATCTCCAGGTAATTGGGTTATCTGTGACATGTCTTTTCTTCTTTGTGCTTTTCTGAATTTTCCAGATTTTCTACACTAATCATATATAGCAAGTATAGTTAGAAAAAGTAATTCAAGGATTTCAAAACAAATAAAATCCGTCATGGGTACAGCCCAGAAGAAGGAGTCCTCAAAGACTTGAAAAAGCTTCTAATACTTTTTAAGGGAAAGTCTGGTTACAGAATAAAACGGGTGACAGAGAGGACTGAATTCCATTTATCACATTATATTTTCTGTCCTGAGGCAAACTGAAGTGCCTGTGCCTTTATTTCACCAAAATAGGCATCATATACCTTACAAATGAGGTAAAGATTGCAATAATCTGCTGCTACTGAGAGAAGAGCATTTCAAGGGAAACAGCCCCACAATATCCAGGATTTCATTGTTTCAGGGCCATAGAATCTCAGAATTCCAATGCCAGTCTTGGCATGGACTTAAATCTCTTGTACTCTAGTATCAGTACCAGTTGCCATCAAGTTAATTCTGACTAATGGCGACCTCATGTGTGTCAGAGTAGAACTGTCCTCCACAGGGTTCTCAATGGCTGATTTTTTGGAAGTAGCTCCCCAGGTCTTTCTTCCGAGGTGTCACTGGGTGAACTCAAACCTCCAGTCTTTCAGTTAGCAGCCCAGCCCATTAACAGTTTGCACCACCCAGGGACTTCTCATCTACGTCAAGCTCCTGCTATTACAGACGAAAACGAAGGTCAAGAGAAGTTCAGTTACTTATTTGATGTTATAGAGCTAGCCGGGTGGAGCCAGGAGTCACATCAGTGTGGTTTTCTTCAGAATTTTCTCAACAGACATTTTCTTTCCTTGTAGGAAACATGCATTGAGGATTTTCATCTTGTTTTGTATCCTCACCTTCATTGGACTTTCATGTTACATACTATTCTTTGATCCTACATTTATCTTTGAAAGGATGCTCCCTAAAATGCTTGGTCGCCAAAGAATGTGGGAACTACGGGAGATTATCGCTCCTTTCTTGAATTTGGAAGTGGAAGACTTGTTACCCTCTTAAAGACACAAACGTTACCATTACCCTGCTGACTTTCTCAATAAAATTCTGGCTGTTATTGTATTATGGTTGTTAACTTATTTTTCCAAAAATGCTGTTATGGTGTTTTGCAGAGGACATTGTAATCATGTATAAATTGGTTGATCACATAAAAAAATGAAAACAGTTTATCTTCACCTTTATGATTCACAATGACTTCTTGAATCATCCCAAACATTGCTTAAAACATTTACTTCACACCAGTAACTTGTCCTCCTTCCCCAACACTGAGTATATTGAGACTTGGTCAATCGCCTTCATTTTGACCTCTGATGTCTCAGAAGAGAAAGATAGAAATCCTCTCCACTGTATCCAATTTTGCTTTAGTTGGATTGGGACCACATTTTAGTTGTAGTGGACATTTCTTGGGTTTTCCTCCTTAACATTCGTTTCTTCTTTTGGTAACAGCAACCCGATTTTGCTTTGGGGAACTACCTTTTCTCCAGTAAGCCTGATTGTAGCTGGTCTGTCAGTCAAGGAGCCCTGTCTTCCTATTCATATCAGTTGGGAATATATTGAATCAAACATTTTTGAAAAATCTGAGAATCATGCAAAGAACAGAAATGATTGAAACAGATTTTATGAACTAGCTCATATCTTTTTTTTCTTAAGTTAGCCAGAGCTGGTTCTGCTACTTACAATCAAGTGAAGTCTAACTGATACGATAGAGGATTTTGAATGCCAGACTGATGCATTCTTTCCTAATTCAGTAGGTAATAAGGAAATAGTTTAAAAAAATTAAATATGAGAAATAGTTATAATTTAACTTTGCAAGATTAATAGAACCATAAAGAATAAGGAGTAGGAGGACAGACGGAGTGTGAAAATTGGTTAAAAGACCATTCAGTCATTCAGGTGAGCTTAAGGGGTGAAAATGGGAATGAAAAGGAGATGTGAAGCAGATATTGTGAAAGTAGATATTATGGTATTTGGTTATATAATGGATGTGGAGTTGGGAGGGTAGTGACAGAGATATGAAATGTGGTCCCAATTCTCACGTTCCCCAGCTGAGTCTGATACAAAACCAGATTTGGGATCCAGGCCTTGGTACATTTAGGACAATGCTGTATACATAGCAGGTATGCAATAAATATTTGTTGAAGTAAATTAAATTATGTGTTCTTATCTTTGTGGCCTCCTGATCATCTCACCCAGCGCTGCATTCAGTATTTATTTGTTCAATAATTTCTCAATGCTCCCATCTTCTCATACTCTTGAATTAATTTTCAACTCTATTACTATCTTTTTTTTTTAATATTGCAGCAATCACCAGGTCCTTCAATTCTTCTACAGCAATTTTTCTTACAGCAGCTCTCATTCTTTGCTACTGTTGTAATAGACTTATCACAGAAGTGGACTACTGCTGGGGAAATCCAGTCTGTTGTTTCTACTTCCATAGATTGTCATTATGCACACAGTTTTAGAATGGAATTGACTCCAAACATCACTTTTATCTTGGCATTCTGCAGTCAGAAAACTATATCAGTTGCTAGAAATGTACAATTTGCTTGCCAGTGGTTCTCAAGCTGTGATATTTAACGGAATTCCCCAAAGAGGCTGTATATTTCTATGAGCATCCCCTCCAGAAATTCTGACTCTTTAGCTCTGGGATGCATCTCTGATATCTTCTCTTTTAATAGCTTCCCCTAATAATTTTTATGACCCAAAGCTTAAGAATTACCACACTAT